GAAGCCATAGGTTTAATCTCAAATACAAAACAAAAAACAAAGCCAACCAATTTCAGTGATATTAGGTGACAACTTCTTTGAGTGCAATCAGGCCATATTTATAAGAAGCAAACACGGAGGCCATGCAGTCAGAACAGGGTGTTCTTCATGAGACCCCATGAAAAACCCATGGTGATTTAAATACATGGGGATTTTTTTTGAGGGGTCAATGTATAATGATTGAAAGAATTTATACAGATAGAATTTGAAAATTGAAAGGGTGCTACAAAGAGCTGACAGAGACTCTTACACTGAACACTACCCTTGAGGGAGGGAAGGGACACTTGGTCTTTGGTGCCCCAGAAGGAAGAAAGGGGTTCAAAGGGGTTCAGCTCAGTGAACTGATTTGAGAGGATGAAATCTAAGTGTGTGAGCTGTGGCAGCGCTGACTGCAGTATTACTGGCCACATCCAGGGAGTCAGAACTCTCCAAGTCTAAGAATTATGGGGAGCAGAAGCTATGAGCTCTTAGGGATGTTAGAGAGAAAGAAATGTGCATGAGAGACCTGGGAAGGGAGCCTGTTGCAATGGCAGCCATGACAGATCTTTTCTTCCAGAGTAAGTTCCTTCTGATGGGCATTTCATGGGTGATGTCATCCTCACTGGGAATTAACATTTCATTGTCTGGTCTGAGGTAACAACGGACACACATGGAGGTTCAGGAGAACTCTTAGCCCCAAAATTGCTGACAGACCTGGATCAAGAGGCACCATCAGATGTACAAATAAATATGAGCTTTTCTCTTTCAGTATGAAACACCATAAACTCAGATCAATGCTTCCACCCACACACAACACTCAAATGCTATACTTAACCATCTAAAATATTACAGTGAAGAATGACCCCACTCCTGTACTGGATTCTACATCAAATCTTTGGACGTTTTAGACACAATGAAAAAGAGACCCTATTCTGGCCCCTCGTCCTTTCTCCTGCAATTCTTTTGGTGTCATCCAATTTAAATTGGCTCTCACATATCTTGGGTATCACCAGCCTCCAAAACTGAGCTGCTCTGGTGAAAGTTCTCCTTTTTGGTGTTCCTCCAGAAAATTCCTTTCTCCACATTTCTAATCTCTGTATAAATGCATTTTAAGTAAGCCTGGGTTTAACTAGAATCTGCTGAGTAGAGTTTTTACCTTGCAAGCAATTGTTCAATGAACCAAGGGTGGCACAGCATGGCCACTGCGCTGGGAGACCCTTCTGTTAAACTTATCAGAAGTCAAGGGGCTCTCTCCAGTGTCTACTCAGCTATTTTGATGAGCATGATACAGCACACATGCACACAAAAAGAATTCCCCTGCTACTTTTGGGGACCCAAAGGGAATCTGGAAATGCTGGAGGGTGACCCTTCTTGGGTTGCACAGGAAAGCCTGGACTCCCTTGATGTGAGCAGCAGTGCAGGGCTGCTGATGGCACCCAGGGATCCATCCTGAGCAGTGACAATCCTAACTCTCAAGCTTTTCTTGTTGTTGTAGTAATGGTAGTAGTAATAGTCATAGTAGTACTGAAGATAGAAGCAGGGCTTCCCATTGAACTTTACCCCCTTCTTAGTTTTTATTTGGGGATCAAATGTTTGATCCTCCTGCCTCAGGCTCCCAGAGTGCTGGGATTACAGGTGTGCATTGCCACACCTGGTTACTCACACCCTTAATCCTAGCACTAGTGAATAAATCCCAGCAGCACATCCTTGTTCCCAGCAGCACACAGTCTACATCTAACCATCTCTGGAAAGGAAAGCCCCACCTATGACTGCATGAAGCTCTGGGGGACATCTAGATACAAGCCATCACAATAGTTTCAACAATTATTGCCTTCTTATGGCAGGAGGTACCAAGGGGAGGTGGTTTCTATATTGTATTGTATTTTTAATTTTAATTTTTATTTTTATTCTGTGGTGCTGGTGATGAAACCCAGGTCCTTTCTTTGGCATGTGCTGTACCACAGGATTACACAGCCATCCTGGTTGAATCTTTTTGTGGGTGTGTGAGTAGTCCTACTTCTGCTAAGAGAGGAGCCTTGCTGCTTCCAACATCATGAGATCTCCTAAAGTGAATAGGTTTCTTACCAGTGTTACTTTCTCCAGGGCGTCTGCTCCACTCCTTCATGACACTTTCCTCTTTTATGCAAGTCTGGGCAGTGAGGAGTGAGAGCCTCAAGCAGAAAAACTGGTTTCTTAGTCACCAGAGAGAGGCCCCAACAGGGGAGCAGGTCTGATTTTTATTCAAATGCCAACCCCCCATCTTCCCTGAGGCAGTAATTCCATTCAAAGAGACACAGTGCTGACTTGAAAATTTCCCAACACAGCAAGAGGGAAGTGTCTTTATTAATATAAGACATACAGATATATAGATGTAAATATGAATATACATACAGTTCCAAGACATTTATTTTTTTCTCTTTCTTTCGCTCCTTTCATTTTTATTGCTATAGAGATGAGTGAGTTTCACTTTGGCAAATTCATACATATACATGACAGACTGTGATCAATCCACTTGCCCCGGGTCTGCCTTTTTCCTGTCTCCCAGATTCACATTATTTGTGAGGGACCCGATGTGTAAATATATTTTGCTGATATCCATACTTCCCATTGTCCACCTTTACACCCCAGCTCCTACCTCTTATTCACTTCCTCTTGCTTAATAATAGTTTCCCTTCTACCTCCTTTTATTTGACCAAGCATAGATTTTCTTTCTGTGTGAACAGAATTCAAGAGATTCTGGGGCTTTCCAGCCGTGTGAACCTGGGAGAATGGCGTTTGTTCTTCGGGGATGTATAGGGTAGAGGACTGGGTGGGGTCTGGTGGTCACAACTTCTAGACTCTGGAATGGGGAAAAGATGGGCCACTTTCTGTGGCCTGTGCACCTGGTGCTCTCTCTCTCTCCTTAGGGTGAGCTTGGGCTCATCACAAATCCCTGCCTCACTCTTCCAGGAAAGACACACCCGTGGGATGATGGCAGGGCCCTGTGGGAAAGGAGAGCCCATCTGTGCAAAGCAAGGCTTCCTTGGGTATGGTTTGTGTTTCTCCAGTGTCTCTCTTGCTACTGCAGTCAAGATTTGGGGCATGTGCTGCAGCAACAGAGACATCCTTGACTCATCACGAACCTTAGCAAAGTCAGGGCTTAGGGGAAAGAAAAGGTGCCCCTTCCTCTCCAGTCCCTGTGGTTACCACAGTTTTCTTTTTGGCCTAGCTGCTCCTGGACTCTTGTACTTTGCCCAGTCAGTGACTCAGTTCGAGCTTAGTAGGAAGTAGAAGGACATAGAGCCCTTAGGTCTCAAGTTCAAATTTAATATTACCCCCAATCTGCAGATCCCAAGTCTTCTTGATGGCCTCCCGGATGTAAGTCATAGGAAGGAGGTTACTGAGATTATAGCAGTGTTGAAAAATTCCTTTCACACAGCAACATGTGCCTGAGGTGTTTCCAGCCAGGAGGGAAAACAGAATACTCAGACAGACACTTGGAGGAGCAAGGAATAGGGTGCAATGGGAGCAGGTGATGAAGAAATGGAAGGAGACAGGTGAATGGGGAGGGAAAGAGCTACTAAAGGAATCACGATGTGTCATGTAACGTACCTACTCCCAAGGATGAATGCAAACTTCATGTTCAGCAAACATGCACCAATTAAAATAAACTGAAAAAAAGAGAAGGAGCTGGAGGAGGTGCCAGAGTAACTCTGGAGTAAGAGGCCTGAGGACAGCAGGTGTTCAATTTGAAGAATGACACAAATCCTGGATTCAACTGAACCATCTTATTTGTCGCCAGGACAAAAATCATTGCCAAAACATCCAAGTGCCCAGGAGCCAAGCACACAGAACTGCCAACGTTCCTGCTGGCATTTCTGTGGGTGGTACAAGGTACAAGAGCTAAGCAGGCACGCTTATGGCCACAGTGCCTGGATTCAAGTCCCACTCCTGGGCTCAACAGTCGTAATACCTCAGGCCAATCAGCCCATCCCTACTGGCCCTTTTTGTCCTCTGTGAGACAGAATGATCCTAATAATCCCAGTCTTGTATCCTACCTGTAGTGATTCAACAGGATAATCAACACCTCTAGGCCTGGAGGTCAGTGCTCACTCAACCTGCAATAAATATTAAGCTTGAATTTCATTCCTCTTTCCTCCCTCCCTTCCTTCCTTCTTTCCCTCCTTCCTTCCTGCCTTCTTCCCTTTCCTTCCTTCCTTCCTTTCTTTCTTTCCTTCCTTCCTCCCTTCCTCCCTTCCTGTCATTTTGTAGAATTCAGTAGTGTATGTCAAAGTGATATAAGGAAAAGTTTCACAGAAGAGCACCTACCCAATAGTGTTAATTTTTCATCAAAGCATAAAGATGTCTGCTGGTCATTTGTATGGTTTTGGTGGCAGACACAGCAGATGATCTGGCAGAAGCAAGGGCACACTGAGCCTGTTAGGATGGGTACATCCTGGTGCTAAGGAAGAAGAAGCAGAGAGATAATTTCCTCCCTGAAAGTCACAGAAGAAAGCCACAAAAGGCATTTTCTTCTGAGTCTGAAGTCCAGGGTGCTGAACTCCCAGAAAAACAAAGACTTTTGGGACCAAAACTGGCCAGGGCCTGGGCTTAGAGGCCCACTTGGAGTGGAGGTTTATGGGTAATATCGAGACAGAGACTCAGGATATAGGGCAGTGGTCCAGAGGGGATCCCTAAAAGAGATTTGAGGTCATCCACACACACAGCTACTGACTGTTAAGCACTATTTTTTTTGTCTCTTTGAGACAGGTTTTACTATGCAGTTCAGGCTGGCCTTGAACTCACTTTGTAGCCCAGGCTGGCTTTGAACTTGCAGCAATCCTCCTGCCTCAGCCTCCCAAATGCTGGGATTACAGGGATGTGTCACCTCACACGGCAAGTGCCAACTTTATACCAGGCACTGCACTCGCTGTAGTGGATGCAAGGAAATGGGGAGGAGGCATACGATGGTGAGAGGTTCTTTAAGGAAAGACTGAGTTATAACTGTTAAATGCTAAAAGTACAAGAGGCCAGATTACAGACACACCATTCTCAACCCAAGACGGGCCACCATGTCAGGGGGAATTCTATCCTGGCTGAAGGTGGACAGGTTCACCCTGAGTTGTTCACCTGAACTCATGAGGAGCACCAACTTCACTCCCAAACTACCAGCAGTCTCTTCTTTCCTCAGACCCCTGAAAGTGCTGCAGAGCTCCGAGGTGCAGAGGTGATGCCCTGTGTTCTCCCTTCTTCAAAGCCAATGCATGTCTCTCTAGCCTAGATAACTCTGGATGAGCTGTTCCCCTGCTTCATTACCACCTCTCAAAAGCTCTTTCACTATTCCCTGGAGTCTTTATGATGGGTTCTCCCATTGTACCAGACACTTATCAAGGGCACATACTTATCTGTGAGAACACTAGGGAGTCCGTTATCACCTAGCCTCAGTTTCCCCTCCTGTGAAATGAGGATGTCAGACTTCTGGTTTTCTTCGACAATGCGAGCCTGTCTTCTGCATGTGCATGGTCCTGAGGAGGCATCAAAAAGCTTTAATTCATGGATGGGAAAAAAAGGAACCCTTGGGTTTGGAGGTAACAGTACCATAAAACCCAACCCATGATTCTCAGGGCCCCACTGGTGGGCCAGGCTTGATACTCTGAGTTCTTCTGCAACTGCTGGTTGTCAGGCAGATCCAGTGATACTATAAATTTCCAGGTGATTCTGGCTGAACTGCTGGTAGGGTTGTAGTTTTCAGAAGTGTGGGACAGGGTGCAGGCGAGGCGGGGGGACCGGGATGGCGTACTCCCGCCTGGACATTGCACACTCTGATGGTCTGGGATAGGATGAAGTATAAATGCTTTCTCTCAGGCCAGACTTGGATGCAAGCCACCTCTGCTTCAGCTGCTCATAGAGTCCATAGTTTGTAGGGGGAGCTGCAAGAGAAACCACATTTGGGTGTCACGGGGTTTTGAAGTCTTGTACAGATGGGGCCTGAGAACGGGTGATGGGGCCCTGCTGGTTTCCCCAGGCTGCTCTGTCAGAACGTAGGCTGGCAGGTCCCCAACGAGGTTCACAAATATCCTACCTCACTATTTATTATGGTTTTTCTTTCCATACCACCTACTTGTGTCTGAAATTATCTCATATACTGCATCTTAAGTTATCTTATTCAGGAATGGTGTCATCTGCCTCTCCACTAGAATGTCAAAGCAGAGGGCAGGACTTCTCTCTGCTTGCCACTACCATGTCCCCAGGTACCACACCATCTGAGGAATGCCATTTGCACATTGTTCGGTCTCTATCCATCCAGCCAGTGACTGATGGGCAATACACGGGGATATTGTTCTCTGCCACCTGTGCTCCAGGTAAGCACCTCCATGGGGTCTAGGTGAGAAGTCCTTATATTATCCCTGGGCTCAAGGGGAAAGGTGGATGGTGGCTCTGAGTGGAAAACAAGACTCATTCATTCCCCCTCTAACCTCGCTCTACAGCTCCCCTGGAGGCAGTGTCCCTTGTGTTGGTTCCTCTGCACAAAGTGAGCTCACTTCAGCCCTATGCATTTACAGGCCCCTTACAGACCAACCAAGGGGAGAAATCCTGAAGTATGAAAGTACCAAGAAGGGGAAAGTCGGACTTCTCTGGCAGCCACAGCAACTTCTGTCTACTCCAGGTACGGAGTGCCGGCAAGCCCGGGTTATAATTATGCCGGTTGTAGTGGTCGTCATAGGTGCTGATCAGATAGCGTTGCGAGGGCTCCTGGTGGTGGGTGATCAGGTGTTTGTACGGGAGGCCCTAGAAGGACAGACACAGTGAGAACATTACTGGTCAGAGTGAGGCCCCCACTTGGCTGTGGATGGGGACTGTGATACTGATTGACAGGAGGCCTCCACAGGCTAGCAAGGAGCCCCAGGGCTGTTGCCCTGTTAGAGAAAAGGCCTCTTTAGATGAGGAGGTGGTTAGGGTGTGGTTTAGGAATGGTTGCGTGTGAAAGGTGCCATCAGAAGCAAGTTATTAACTCTCTGAGTTACCTAAATGGCTGGCAGCTATTCCCAGGGCCGCCAAATGGGAGACATAAGTGTTTGTCCCACTCTGATGCAGTCCCCCTTCCAACACAAGTCCCAGCCAGTTGCTGTCACTTCTCTGTACATCCAACCTCCCACCCTAGGCCAGATCTTTTCATCCCCAGAATGTGCTAGGGTGACAAATTAGAATAAAAGGACATTTGACTGGGTGGGAGAGGCAGAGGCACTCACAGGACAAACAGCTTGTGAGCTGAAATTCTATCCTTGGATTTGCCTCCAGTATCCACCCAAGCACTTGTTTCCAAGGCAAGTGAGAGACACTGACACCAGGCTGGTGTCTGTGCCTGATATAAATCAGGGACTGTGGGAGGAATCGGAGACTGTTCTGTGAATTGCCTTCTCTTGTGAAGAATGGCTCATGGCTCCCTGGGCTGGAAAGCAGGAGAGTGAATTCTTTGGTGACCAGTTATTTATGGGGAGAAGAAAGCCATGGGGTGTTTGCTTGAGTCAGTGCTTTTCCTAAGGAAATCTTGGCCTGGAAGGAAATCCCGGGAAACCGGGCTGATTTCCAGAGGAGCGAGATGTGGGTTTCCACTGCTGTCCTCTTGTCTGTCTGGTGCAGACAAGGGGAACTGTGTCTGCTAGGGTCTGCTACGCACTGCACTCAGACTGCAAGGGGCAACTCCATACATAACTCAGATAATGACAGAGGGAGGTGGCAGGGACAGGCAAAGGAACAACTCAGGTTCCCTAGACCTACATCACCAGGGGCCAGCAGTGGTTTTTGTTTTTTTTTTTTAATTTATTTTAAAAAGAAAAGAAGGAAAACATATTAACAAACAGGCATCCATTTACAAAATAGCATAAGAACAATGCAAACAATTCAGAGTCACAGACCAAGTGGTAGGAAATGAACAATGGTTGTTGTATTACATATTGATATCTTCAAAGTGGTTTCTCAGGAAAACAGACATGCAAGATTGATCAAAAAGTAATCATTAAAGCAATAGAAGACAATAGTACAACTATGTTAGCTATCCTGGATATACATACATACATACATACAATTTCCCCTTCTTTCCCTTCTCTTTTCCCACACCCCAGTTGCCCTTTACTTCTGAGCATTTTCCTTTAGTTTCACAACGTCTATCATACCTTCTAGTTTTTATTCACTCTTTCAGGTTTTTACACTAGTGAGATAATACGTTGCTTACACATGCAGGTCTGATTTATTTCACCTATGAGTATGGTCTCTAATTGTGGCCATTTACCTAGAAAAGCCTCGAGTTTATCTTTTTTTGTGCTTTCAATGCTGGGAAAATGAGAGGCAGAGCTTCCAACCAGCAGAGGGCAGTACCTTGCCGGGGGTCATCAGAACAGGGAAAGAAGAGAGGCTGTGAGTTTTCCCCATTGTTTCCTTTCTTCTGAGTGTGTCCCTGAGGGTTTGATTGTATGCAAAGGATTCTTGCTGCAATCAGGTGTAATAAGGCACAGACAGAGACAACTATCTTGGAGACAACAGTTTATTACTTCCTGTTCTCATGAAGATGGTCACACATGATACCCAGGGCCACAGGGCACAGCACAGGTTGGTCAGGAGGTGGCAGGAGGGGGCCCAGAGCCTTCACTATAGTCACCATGCTATACGGAGGAATAGGCCAGCGGACGGCAGGCAAATCTGAAACTTGAATTTATACTTGCAGAGTTTGAATAATTTCATAGGGCTCCAGGGTATAGGGGTCTCAAGTTTTTCCAGTAACAAGCCCTCTGCTGATTTAGAAGACAGGAAATGGTGTACTGAGAGTCTTAGATAAGGAGGCAGTTAGAGTGTGGGTCAGGGATTATTGGTTTGCATATGAATGGTGCCCTCAGAAGCAAGCTGTCCACCATCTCTAGGAATGGCCTAAGCCTGGGACATGACTATGGGATTAGAAAAATCCCTGATACATCAAAGCTTCATGTAATTTAGAAGATTAAAAATAAAATTATAGCTGAATGTGGCAGCACAAGCCTGTAATTCTAGTACTGTGGCAGGCTGAGGCAGGAGGATTGCAAATTCTAATTCCTCATGGGCAACTTAATGAGATCCAGCCTCAAAATAAAAAATGAAAAGGACTGCCAATGTACCCCATTGCCCTGGGTTCAATCCTAAGCACCACCATAAAGAAACAAACAAAAAGCCCAAACAAATGAATGGATAAATAAAATGAAATAAAAGTACAGATAGACCTCCCCAAAGGAATATTTCCTGAAGAGGGTCCTCTCTTGGTGATGATAACCCTGCTCTCCAAGGTCAGTTTGGAGACACAGCATATGCCTAAGAAGAGAGAAGGGTAAAGTAGGGATAGGAGCTGGAAGAGGAAGTACTTCTAGGAGGAGGAGTCCTAAGGAAGCAGAGCCCACAGAGTCAGAACAACCATGTGGGGGCAGTGCTGCACCAGCACCCAGCACGGAACAGGCAACTGGAACAGAACCCTCAGGAATGAGCATTCAATTGTTCGGTTCTACTTATTTGCCTTAGAATCGGAGGCTTTTTAATTTCAGTCAGACTGTGTGTTGAACTCCGGGTCAAGGTTTGTAATGGGTCCAAAGGCATTTATGCGCTGGGCCTGGTGGCCCACACCTATAATCCCAGCACTCAGGAGGCTGATTCAGGACAATCCTTACAAGCTCGAGGCCAGCCTGGGGTACAAAGTGAGCTCAAGGCCCAGCCTGAACTATACAGGGAGACCCTGTCTCAAAAAAGACCAAACAAACAAACAAACATTAAGAAAAGCTAACAAGTACTCTAAAGTATAAGAACAGCCAAAGCCCACCACCCCCCCCACACACACAGGCTGTTGGGACGTGGGGTTCTCTCCGTGCCTTGCTTCTGCGAAAGTGTGTTTGTGTCCTTGATGCAGACTAATGCTGAAGGTCAGCAGCCACAGCATTAGCACGGATCAGAGATGCCAGCAGAAGGGGGCCTCCAGTGCGGTTCTGATGCACCTTTGCGTTCAGCTGGGCCCGCGCAGCTCGGGAAGCCAGCAGAGAGCCGAGAGCCTGACACTGTTAATCCTGATGCAGATCCCTGAACGCTGAAGACAGTCATTCCTGGCAGGTGATGAAAAGTCAAGCCTTGCCGGGCTTACAGAGGCGCCATCCGCTTGCTCCTTTACCAAAAAACCATCAGTCTTTGGAAGAGACACTCATCTCCTCTGGGCACTTTACCTTAGTCATCTCCTTGGGTCCTTTCCAGCTGTGAAATGCTGGGATTTGACAAGTCCCTGCCACCTTCCTGGGGGCCACCCTGCCTCCATTCTGAGATTCAGCAGATCAATGGGGTGGGAGAGGGGGGACAGAGAAGCCTCTGAGAGGAACAGGCTGTCAAAGGAAGCCTCTCGGGAGTCTTTGGAGTATGAGGGTTAGAGCACAGCTGTGCCCAGTGGGTGAGTACCCTCGAGCTCACTCTCTGGGGCACCCCTGGCAGGAGGCACCAAGAGCAGCGATGGAGGAGGAGGCACTACCTGCTGCTCCTGGAAATGCCATCTGGTTGGCATGTCTGAGGCTGAAATAAAGAACTTAATCCACCCTTTGTGTAGAGTGAGTTCACAGGTTCACTGACTCATCGCAAGAAAAAGAATTTGCAGATGCTTCAGTACAAGAGAGATGAGCAGGACTCATTAGAGGTATAGGACACAGTCTGGAGCTGAGCATGGATGCTCAGAGAGAGAGACCCATGAGCCAGAGCTGAGTACATTTAAAGAGGTGTCTTCAAGACGGGTGTGCGAGGGTGTATATTCTCACTGTCTGTCAGGTTACAGTGCAAGTCACTGACCTGTGTTTGAGGTTGACGTACGCTCCCCACCAGCACTACTGCTTTCCAAAGATGGAGGAAGAGCAATGTATAGGTAAAAAAAAAGCCAGGTTAAGAGCCTGGATTTAGAAACTTATTGTGCAACATTGAGGAATAACTTTTGATGAGTTTCATGGAAGGGAACATGTTTTTGTCACGTCCGGGGATGAGCAGCCAGCTGGAATCATAAACCCGGCACCAGTAATGAATGAAAGGCACAGAGTTTAAGAAAGAAAGATGTTTTATTTGTAAGAAGGAGAAATCAGAAGATGGAAAGCTGCCCCAAAGAGATGGCAGGAGGTTCTAGAATGAAGGATTCTCCTGAGCACTTGTCCCCATCTTCTTTTATTAGGACTAGTGACCCTTCCCTCCCTGTGGGTATCTGGAACTTGTCACAATCGGATTGGCTCTTGGCTGTCTTTGGGCACCTTTGCCTACATGCACATTCCTTGTGGTGGGCTTTGTTTGACTCTGTCCTCCCCTTTTGTGATACATAAGTTGGGGGAGGGCTTATAGAAAGGTAGCTTAGTGATTAGATAAGGTGATGTGTGTGTATCTAATATAGTGATCTAATGTAGTATAATGTGTGTGTATCGAATGTAGTAATATAGTGACCCTAGGGAGAATACATACATATATATATATATGGATAGGTGTGGGTGTGTATATCTTTATATACTAAATAAGAGTTAGGTGGCCTCCCTTTGTCTCCTTTGCATTTTATTGGCAGTAAGGGAGAGGGAGATTAGCCTGGTTTCTAGGCTTCTGGCTTCCCTCTGCTTTGCTATCAGCTCTTCCTCTGGTAAATTCTCTTTTTTATTTATTTATTTTTTTTCCAGTATCGGGAATCGAACTCATGACCTTGCACTTGCCAGGCAGGCCCTGTGCCGCTGAGGGAAATCCCCAGCCCCAATCTCTGGTAATTCTTATGTTGATCATGCCACCTAGTGCAGTTCTGGGTCTCCTTTCTCTCTCCCTCTCTACCTTTGTCCTTTTCATCACTTGAATATGACTGCAGAAGCAAAAGCTACTTGTAATGAGATTTTCTATTAATGTCTTTAATAAAATCTAATGAGGCCCTTATGCTATTCTTTCCATAACTATTGACCCCCAAACCGCTTTTTCCTATAGGGCTGTTACCACCCTGAGACTAAACATCACCTGCGCCCACAAGCAATGACAGGGCAACACCAAGGGAAGAGCTGGGTGGGAGGATGTTCATGAAACTGCCCCTGCTTGCCCAGCAGGTACTGAGCATGGAAGACGTTGGCTTGTGTCTCATGAACTCTGGGAGAAGCCCATGCGTCTGTGTGGATCGTTGTTCTCTCTTACCTCAACTCTTCTCTTCCCATACCACCTGGAGATCTGGTCTGGCTTGTGCCCCGGGAACTGGACGTAATCCTTTCTGTGAGTGCTCTGGGGGACCTTCTCGGTATCTCTGGTGAACTGAAAAGGACAAAATATTCAGGAGAACCCCTGCGATGCCACTGTCCTCAAACTTCTGCTGTGTCTGTCCCTCACCTTCTAGGTCATCAAAAGGTTGCAGACAAATATTTAAAATCCGTCATCTCACTAACTTTCACCTTCCAAATTTTCTGCTCAAAATATACTGACATACAAACCAGGACATCCTGCAGGATTGAGGAAAGGTGCAGGGTTGGTTGTTAGCCATCTGTATCCTGAGAAGCTGCTTCTGGCTGTCCTGGCCGCCTTTTCATGGCCCTCCCCTGGCTTCCTTCTCACCTTCTCTCTCCATGCTCCTCCCACTCCCCTGTCTCTTCCTTTGCCTTTCCCTCAGTGTTCCTCACTCATCCCAGCTCCACACTCTCTGTGTTTTCACTATGCCGTGTTTTCTTAAAATTCAATATGATGTAATGTTCGATAGCTATGGCTTTAACCATTATCAGTGGACAGTTCAGAGGCACGAAGTACATTTGCATCATTTTTTAACAATTCCCCTCATCTATCTCCAGAATTTTCTCATCCCTAACTGAATGCCTATCCCCATGCTGCACATGAGAAAAATGTATATTCTACTGTTGTCAAGTGGAATGCTGCATACATATCCAGTAGGTCAAAATGTTCCACAGGGGGGTCTAAGCCTCCTATTTTTGTATTGGTCTTCTATTTTGTTGTTCTACCTAACATTAAAAAATATTACTGCTATTGTACAGGAATGTATTTCTCCCTTTAATTTTGTCTACTTTTGCTCTTAATCAGGAGCTCTGATAGTCTATGGCTTTAAATTGCTAACATCTTTCTATTTTAATTGAAAGATTCCGTTCTGCGTACCTTGTAAGGCAAGTTGGTTTGTGATGAATTCCCTCAGCCTGCATTTGTCTGGCAATGTCTTAATCTCTTCATCAGTTAAAACAGTTTTGTGGGATATAGAATTTTCAGTGGGTAGGTTTTTTTTCTAGTATTTAAAATCTGTCATCTCACTAACTTCCAGCTTCCAAATTTTCTGCTCAAAATATACTGATAATATTGTTGCAGATTCCTTTTACATGACAGGCTACTTTTCTCTTGGTGCTTTCAGGATTCTCTGTCTCTGGTTTTCAGTGATTTGATTATAAAGCTTGTCAAAGTGGATTTCTTTAAGTGTATCCTGTTTAGAGTTTCGTTGGCTATCTTTGATTTATAAAACCATGCATTTACTCAAATATGGGAAGTTTTATAGCCATTATATTTTGAAACAGGCTCTTCACCCTTCTAGCTCTCTTCTTTTTCTGGAATTCCCTTAATACACACATTGATGCATTTGATGGTGACCCATAAATTCCATAAGCTCTGTTCACTGTTTTCATTTAGTGATTTTTTTTCCTCTGCCTTTTCTAATCTGCAGTTGAATTTTTCAATTAATGTATTGCTGTTAAATTTTTCAATTAATGTATTTCTCAGTTTATATTATATTATTGGTCTCTTTTTCTTATATTTTCACTTTATCCAAATACTGTTTTCTTATTTTACTTTTGTTTTTTAAACATGCTTTCCTTTAGTTTTTAAGCAAATTGAAGACAGTTGTCCTAAAGTCTTTTTACCAGTAATTTGATGCTTGTGTTATTTTTCAAGGAGTGTTTTCTATTACTTTATTTTATTCCCTTGGCTGATCCATGGTTTCTGAATTTTCTCTTGTTGAAGATTAAGCATTTGGTGATGGCAAGGGGGGCGCACCAACTCTCCCAGTCTCTGTAGACTGGATTTGTGCAAGAAGAGACCTTACTAATAAGCAGGTCATGTTCTTAGCCTGGGGTGAACCCCTCATGAAGGTTGGAAATATTCTCAGATCTTTGCTGGCATACTTCTTGCCTAAGGTTGTGTGTGCATTTTCAAATTTTCCTTACATATATTTCTTTTTAATTGTCTTAATATTTCATGAGTCTCACACCTGCTTATTCCTTGGGCCTCAGATGTTCTATATTCCTCTATCCATAATCTTTTTCCCCAGACATTTACAAATCTGTAGCCCCCTGGTGGCTATCACTAGCTGTGCCTGCCGCTGCTCCCCATGACTCTCCTTATCCCAGGACCTGAGCCAGCCACATGCTCCCCACCTGAGCTCCAAGGTAGGACAAGTAGAGATCATCTTCTCAGGCAGCCCGAAAAGGTTAGAATTGCTCTTCCTGCTTTGGATTTAAGAAAAAGGACTACGACCTGGGCTGTCACATTCCTCAGATTACGGACTGTGCTGTGGTTTGCTGAGGAGGGGATGGGTATAGTTCAAATACTCTGTCTCTTGAAATGTCTATCATTTTGAATATGGCCTTTACTTTAACAATCAGTTGGTTGCTACTGACATTTTAAAATTTCCCTCCCCACATTCTGGGGGAGAGAATGACCATGGAGAGTGGAGATGATCTTCAAATAAAGGCATAAAAGAACTGGGGAAAGGAAATACCCACATGCCTAGAAACATTCCATTGAGAATAGTACCAAGAAATAGAACTATACTGACACCTCCTCAGTGGTACTGTACTTTCAAAATATACCAAGAGCCTAGATGATTACTTTAATGTGACTTTGAGACCCAATTCCCTAGCTTCCTTTGATCTGAAAATGGGAATTAAACTGGGTATGGTGGTACACACCTATACTTTGGAAGGCTGAGAAAAAAAAGATTGCATATTAGAGTCCAGCCAGGAAAACTTAGCAAGTTGGTGAAACTTGTCTCAAAAAATTGTTTGAATAAAGGGGTGGGGATGTAGCTCAGAGTGAAGACCTTGGGTTTAATTCCCAGTAGTGGAACCAAAAAAAAAAAAAGAGAAAAAGAAAATAAAAGAGAGAGAGAAGACAGAGGAAAAAAGAAAGAAAGAAAGAAAGAAAGAAAGAAAGAAAGAAAGAAAGAAAGAAAGAAAAGGAAAGAAAAAATAAGAAAAGAAAAGGAAAGAAAGAAAAGAAAAGAAAAGAAAAGAAAAGAAAAGAAAAAAGAAAAGAAAAGAAAAGAAAGAAAAGAAAAGAAAAAGAAAGATTCTCCTACATCTGTCAGTTTTCCCTCTGAGCCCTTGGTCCACCCTAGTCTCTTCCTCCTTACCTTCCTCCTCTCTTCCACCCAGTTTCCGGTAAGGGCAGCAGTTGAATACTTCTTCTCAATCTGCCAAGTTGGAGTTGAGAATGACTGCGGATTTAGCATAGTTGAAAATATGTTAAGGACCGTCCCAAATTCCTATGCCTGGACAGGTTCTGGGGAAGGGAGAAGGGTTATGAAGTTGCTCGGTTTGAGGTGCCTTTTCTCTTCCCAGGCTCCCTACTGACTGGGGAGTGGATGGCACCCTTCTAACATCAGAGAATAAAGAAGTTCTGAGAGTTCACTTACAGCCTCCAGGGACAGTGATGCAACCATGGATTCTCTGTGTCTACAGTCTCCATGGTGACAGACCCTGTGTATAAATACTCTTCTTAAGGGAACAGCTGATTCTTCAGGAGTAAAATTGACCCCACAAAAGCAATAATGAAAGGACCTGGTTTCTGTGTTTTCACTTTGCGATGGGCATCATTCTTGCTGCATTTTTACAATTGAGGTAGGTTGAATTCTTTCTCTGGTGGGGGGAGGGTGAGTTGAATTCTACTGCTACATAAACAATGAGTGCTGGTGTAAAAGGCCCATTCTAAGACTTCTACATGTGCTCTGTCAGCAGCACTCTGAGGAAGGTGCCATTCCTGTACCCATCTTGTAGATGAGATTACTACAGCAAAGAGAGATTAAGCAGCTGTCTGAAGTCACATTGCTATGTATTGCTACATCTGGGATTTCGGTATACTCCAACTCAAAGCTTAAATCACTGGGTTCCCTTCACTTTCTGTCTGCAGTTCTAACTAAGAGGTTCCCATGAAAACTCTTGTATCTGTGCTTGCAGCTAATACAGTGTGATTCTTTTACTCATTCCTGACTCATTGCTTCTACAGCATTCAATAGTCTACGTCATGCGTGCTGAGGTGGGACTTCAAGTACTAGGAACCAGACATAAGCCCCACCCCATAAAGCACAGTTCAACTGGACAAAAGCCATTAGCTTGCTAATTCATTAGGGAAAAAGAGCCAGAGCCACTAGATAGTCATTAACAGAGGGCTGGCACACCCTTGTAATGAAATACTCTTCAGCTGTTAAGAAAGACTATCAGATATCCATAACATACAGTTAAAGAAGCAGAACTCTGTGTGCTGTCTTGCTTGCTACCAGTGAAGATATTCACCTTCTAAAGGCAATTCAGGAAAAGTTTTTTTCCAGTGACTTTAAAGAAAATCAGAAGAATTCCAGAAAACTCTTTGGTTCATAGTAAAATCTTATTTTGAAATTCTGTATCATTTTTATGTTTTTCGTGTTGTTTGGTTTTTGTCTTTGTTTTTGTTATTTTGGTTTTTTTTCTTTTCTCTTTAAAATAATAAACAAACAAATAAATAAGTAAAATAAAATTAAGCACTTGGCAATCAGAGAACATGGGAGATGTACCGATGAGTAGGAAAGAAAGTCTATTTAGGGCTGGCCAAAGTCTTGGGATGGCTGGAGCCAAGAGGGAAGGATGTCTTTCCAATAAAAGGTGGAAGGAGTCAGATATTCTTTACTTTTTTATTTTTCATAGGTTTTTTTGTAAAATATAATGAGAAATTACATTAAAAATGATTATATAGATGGATAAGTTTTGATAAAGCAAAACCCTACAAAGCTACCAGACATTTTTCAGAGACAGTTTGTCAGCATACCACCAGTTATATCAGTATTTATCAGATTAGAAACTCAAACATATACCTAGAACATATTGATTAATTTCAAACTAACAAAATTGATCATTCAGATTAACGGGTTTCACTTTGGCAGATCTGAACATGCACATAGCATATTTTGATCATTTTTACCCCCATCAGCCCCTGTCTTATGCTCCTCCCACATAATTGTTTTTAATGAAAATTAATTCTATATTTCAAAAGGAAAATTTAGTGAGATGTGTAGCATCATTTTATTCTTTGTTTATTTTTGTCTTTTTGAGATAATGTCTCACTATGCAGTTCAGGCTGGCCTCGAACTCACAGCAATCCTCCTGCCTCAGCCTCCCAAGTGCTGTCATTTTATGTTTTTACAAATATGTTTAATATCTGAATTGATAGAAGATAGAAATGTAACTTGAGGACCCACTATCTGTGATTTAGGACTGTCCCCTAATTTGTGGGGTTTGTACTATCTCCCAGTAGCTGGTGTCAGAATTGAATAAGACTATACTATACTCAGTTGGTGTCTACAGAGAATTAGAAGTATGCTTGGTACAGAATCAGAAGTTGGATATCAGAAGTGTAATGAGTAGATAAAGATCTTAGTAATAGTACCTTTGATACCACACAAAAATTTAACAAGCTGTTGTCTGCTAAAATTTACACTGTGGAATCTGAAAGTACTTAGTGAACTCTGAGAACTATTGCTGGTTGATGTCATGTTTCAAAAGCCACTTTTTACTTTTTTGTGACTGATAAAAATAGCTTGCTCATTTGGTAAACAGTAGTTTACTGAGCTGTTTGATCTTCAAATGTTAACATGTTTCATTATGTAATATTTTTTAAGAGTCACATTTGCTAATATCACTGTCGATGTGCATCAGAGATGCATTGAGGTATTGAGAAGTTGTCAACATCATTAGTCATTTGAGAAAGGCAAATTAAAACAATGCTGAGATTCCACCTTACCCCAGTAACAATGGCTAGCATTAAGAAATCAACCAATAACAACTACTGGCAAGGCTGTGGAGAAAGAGGAACCCTTCTCCATTGCTGGTGGGAATACAGACTGGTGAAACCACTGTGGAAATCAGTTTGGAGATTCCTCAGAAAACTAGGTCTACAGGTCCCATTCAACCCAGCTATCCCCCTGCTGGGTATTTGCCCAGAAGATCTCAAAACATCATGTCACAGCGATATATGTGCACCTATGTTCATAGCAGCACAATTTATAATTGCTAAATTGTGGAAGCAATCCAAATGTCCATCCACCAAGGATTAGATAAGAAAATTGTGATACTTTTATATAGTGGAATATTACTCAGCTATAAAGAAAGACAAACTCTAGGGCTTTATAGGTAAATGGTCACAACTAGAGACCATACTCAAGTGAAATAAGTCAGACCTGCATGTGCAAGCACCACATTGTCCCACTAGTGTAAAACCTGAAAGAGTTAATTTAAACTTGGAGATATGATAGACATTGTGAAACCATAGGAAAACGCTCAAGGGTAAAGGGCAACTGGGATGGGGGAAAAGAGAAGGGAAAGAAGGAGAAATTTTGTATGTATGTATATACAGGATAGTTAACACAGTTGTTCTACTACCTTCTATTTCTTTGCTGAAAGAAACTGTTAATGAGTCCTTGATTGATCAATATTGCATGTCTCTATCTGTTTTCCTGAGAAACCACTTTGAAGATGTCAATGTGTAATACAATAAGCATTGTCAATTTTCTACCACTCTGTTTGTAACTCTGTATTGTCTGTACTGTTCTTTTGCTATTTTGTAAAATGGTGTCTGTCTGTTAATGTTTTCCTCCTTTTATTTTTAAAATAAAAAAAAAGAAGAAGTTGTCAAGCTTGACTTCAGCCTCACACTGGTCCCTGTGACTCGTGGCCAAGCCCTGTGTCTCCTCCTCGGCTGACACTGTATTGTTTGTGTGAGGAGGCGGGAGCTGTGGCTTCCACCACAGTTTGATGAAAGCAGGCCCAAAATAAGATCTTACTCCCAGCTGCCTCTGAACATTGTGTGCAACACATCTTCAGACATCAAGTTCAGCCTTGTGAACCAATCTATGTGATGTGTTAGGACCCATTCCAGGCAGGGCCAGAGTTTACACAGCTGTTAATTCATAGACGTGGACAGCACTGGGATTATGGGGCATATGTAGTAGAATGAGAAAATCAAGATGACTACAAACTGGTTCAAAAATTAGACAGGGGTAAAAAGAGTGAAGTATTTGAAGCCATCAACATCACAAATGATAAAGAAGTTGTTAACATTCTCAAGCCAGCAGAAAAGTAGAAAGTTAAGCATTAAATAAAGATTTTAGAAAATATGAACAGCTCAAACATCATCACACTGGTAGATATTTTTGTTGTTGTTGTTGTTTTTGTTTTTGCTTTTGTTTTTTCTCCGGTACCGAGAACCGAACTCATGACCTTGCACTTGCTAGGCAGGCGCTTTGCCGCTGAGCTAGATCCCCAGCCCCTACACTGGTAGATATTAAAAAGAGCCTCTATCATGAACCCCTACCCTGGCTTTTGAACATGTAAAGGAAATAGACTTCAAGTGATTGCAGCAGACATGAACAGACTATGATACTCAATTTTGCACAAATGAGATTCTGAAGGCCCTAGATTATTGTCACAGTATGAGCATTAGGCACAGATATGTGAAGCCCCATAATGTCGTGGCTGATCATGATCATAGAAAGCTGCCGCTAATAGACTGGGATTGGGCTGCATTTTATCATCCTGGACAAGAATATAGTGTTTGAATTTCTTCCTGATACTTCAGAGGTGCTGAGCTACTTGTAGACTATCAGATGTATGATTATAGTTTGGATATGCAGAGTTTGGATTATATTCTGGCAAGTATGATCTTCTAAGAGTCATTTTTCCACAGACATAACAATTACAATCAGTTGGTGAGGATAACCCGGGCTCTGGGGACGGAAGAATTATACTACCATATTGACAAATACAGTATTGAGTTAGATCTCTGGTTCAGTGATATCCTGGGCAGACACTCTCATAAGTGATGAGAACACTTTGTCCACAGTGAAAACTAGCACCTTGTCACCACTGAAGCCTTAGATTTCCTGAATAAGCTGCTGCAACCACAGTCCTGAATAAGCTGCTGTGACCACAGTACAGCTTCCTGCAAGAGAGGCCATGAAACACACCTATTTCTATACTGTTGTGAAAGACCAGGCTTGAATGTGTTCATCAAAGGTACAGTATACCTTTTCGCAGCATCGACATGATGCCAAGGATTTTGTCAGTGCCAACCCTTTCACCCTGCAAACCTCTGTTAGGCTCACCAGTGATTCCTGCTGCTAAACACCTTTGGATACCTGTTCCAGCTGTTGCTGGTGCTTAGCAGTTATGGCCCTCTCTGTCTCCTGATACCTGAGCAGGAGTGAGGAAGTCTACTCTCCCTTTGATGCAGGTTGCACCTGGGTGAAACACTTCAGAAGCACTGTGTGTCAACCATTGCTTGTGGGTTTACAGCAGCTCAGTCTTAAAAAAATTTTAATGGGATGAAAAAAATTATTAATCTCACAGTGGTGAATACAAGTTTTCCTAAATTCTAGGGTGTTTTCAAATTCTAGTTTTAGTTTGAAATCTTAAAATTTTGTCATTGGCAGCA